AGTGATCAGCCCTCCCTTAGACCCCTGTGCTGGAGACACCAATACACCCTTAAGTATCTTCCCTCCTATCCTCCTGACAATCGACAGCTCACAATGTTGGAGTTTAGATTCTTGAATAAAAATCAGAATAGGTTTGACTTTCTGTACAAGCCTTGCTACAGCAGCTGACTTTTCCCTCTTCCCTAATCCTCTAATGTTCCACGATAGAATACAAAAATTTTCATAAAAAAGCTTCACTCCCAAACACCAACATCGAACCCTTTAACCAACAAAACCACACCGACATATCAACCTTCCAGCACCACCTCTGAACCTTTCTCAAGACACAAAATTTTCTCGATAAATGCCTCCCTCCCCTCCTTAAATGAAATGCCTAACATCTAACATACCTCCCATGTTTCTAATGCTTCCTCCAACAGTTTATTAAAGGTACTAGAATACACTGTTGAAATCTCTGCCAAGCCCAAAGCTTCTGTAATTAAACCCCTTCTTTCCCTTTAGAAATTTCTTCGATAACTAGAAGCAGAGAAGGAGGCCGCTGCCTTACTAGGAGAAACTTTACTACTAATCAAAGGAACCATCGAAGTACTATGCTTATGATTCAAATTACCCTCAGAACGCGTGATTTCCTTATCAGTACCCGAGCATAACCAGACTAGTCTAGCTTTTGACCTTCTATAAACTCTAACAAAGCATCCACAACCCCTCCTACCATCCGGTGCACTTCTTAAAGACATGCTTTTAAAGACTTGGTAACCCAGCTTCAGTCTCCTGGAACTCTTCACTTTCACATTGCTGCAATCACCCTGAAGTGCAGGTCCTTCATTTAGCTCCCCCATACCATTAACTACACCATCCTGAAGACCTTCAAAACACCCATCTGTAATGTTACAACCATCGTCCACCATACAACATGAGTATTCTGAACCTTATTGGGACTGTTAAATCTGTCCGAAAAGTACTCCACAGCAGGCCCCACAGGCAAAATTTTAGAAACAGATGAGTGAACCTCCTAATTAGAAACAGAATGGGCTGAAAAACTCTGACCCACTGCCACTCTCAACCCCAGACCCGCATAGTCCCTAGTGGGATCTAGCTCCATTCCAAAATTCGCTGACACTCCATTACTATTGGATTTCGTGCAAGAATTCTGTTTCAAAGAATGTTTCCCACCTTCAATGTGCATCCCACTATCTTGCCTAATCTCACTCCTCATGCCTACCTTTGACCGACCTCCCTCAACCACCACTCCCCTTATGTCATCTTCAACCCTTAGAATCCCTCCATTAACCTTCTCTGAAAAATCTGCATTGTGTCCATCCACAGAAAAAATCTGCACCTCATCTTCGTTTGCAACAGAAACTTCTGAACACTTGGATCCCATAATAATCTTGACTTTAAATGATCTACCATAAGCTCTAACTAAAATATGTTCAGAAACATCAAAGGGACTAGCTACCCTAATCAGCATTTTTGCCGAAGAAAGGTCCTCCCTATTTCTTGTTTCTTCTGGGATACTAATAAAAGTACCCCACTTTCATACTAAGATATTTAGAAATGATTCACTCCAGGTAAGGAGTGGTAATCCAACCAGCTCGACCAAGCAAAAAGACAAAGGAACACCATATTCACTCAACAGCGGGGCTACCCAGTCGAACCATAAATGAAACACCTCACGAAGATTCGACCAGACATTAACAAACTCTTCGTTTGAATTAAACACTATAGCCATGGCATTCCTTGCATACCCCCACCTAACTATTCTAACCTTGAAACCCTCCTTGCCCTGGTATTTTTTTAATACATCTTACTACCCTCAATGCAGCATCAAATGTGATTTGTTAAGATGTTGCATGAATTGACATAGGTAATGCACAACAAAAGTTATGTCAAGTCTGGTATGCGTTAGATAGATTAATCTTCCTGTAAGTCTTTGGAAGATACTCTTGTCAGACAGCAATTCATCATCCTTCTCACAAATACTATCAAACTCAGTTGTAGTAAGTTTTACATTCATTTCTAGAGGTGTAACTGCAGGTTTGGCTCCCCTACCCCTAATTATTCAAATCAATTCAATGGCATATTTCATTTGATTAATCAAAATCCCCTCTTTCGATCTCATGATTTATAGACCTAGGAAATATTTTAATTCCCCCAAGTCCTTAATTCTACAATTCTAATGAAGTAAACTTTTTAACTCATTAATCATCTCACTGTCATTACTAGTAACTAAAAGATCATCCTCATAAATAAACATAATTACAATTTTTTTGTCTTTCTTCATAGTGAACAGAGAATAGTCATACTTGCTTTGCTTGTAGCCAACACCTAAAAGAGCTTCTGTCAACTTTAAATCCCACTGTCTAGATGCTTGCTTTAACCCATAAAGGGACTTTTGCAATCGACACACCTTATTCTCCCCTACTACAAAACCTCGCTGGTAAATCCATATAAACCTCTTCTACCAGATCACCATGTAGAAAAGCATTGTAAACATCTAACTGTATCAAAGGCCAGTTGAAGATAGATGTCAAAGCAAGTATTGAATGAACAATGACCATTTTCACAACAGGGGAGAACGTATCAACATAGTCCACGCCCTCTAGCTGATTATATCCCTTGGCCACTAAACGAGCCTTAAACCATTCGACATCACTGAAGGCGGTATATTTTATCCTATAAACCTATTTGCAGCTGATTGGAACATTCCCCGGTGGCAATGAGACAACAAACCAAATCTTATTTGACTCAAGGGCTTGAATCTCCTCTTTCATAGCCTAAACCCATTCTGGATGTTGAATAAGCTAACCCCATTTGTAGCTGATTAGAACCTTCCCCAGTGACAACGACACCACATACCAAGTCTTATTTGACTCAAGGGCTTGAATCTCCTTTTTCATAGCCTAAACCCATTCTGGATGTTGAATAGCCTCATGGTAGGTTCTGGGTTCAGAATAAATGACAAATAGAGGATAAAAAAGTTTGAGTAGAAATAGGCAAATGATCATAAAAGATATAGTTGTTAATAGGATAAGCAATGGAAGATTGGGTATTACAAACAAAGTCATTTAACCATTGAGGTTATTTAGACACGTGGGATGACTTCCTAGGAAAAATCGTTTCTCCTGGAACAGAGGATTGAATCTCTTGGGATGTTTGCTCTAAAGTATGAAGAGGATGAGTATGTTGATTTATAGGTGAAAAAAAAGAGAAGAAACTGTAGGTTGAGAATCAAGTGGTAAAATAGATGAACTAGAACCACTTGTGGGTTGTGGAGTTAAAACCAAAAATTTTGAATCATGAACAATAGGATTTGAAGGCAAATTTGTCAAAATGGTGTAAGTTTGTTCCATAACAAATGCATCCAATGACTCTAAGATTTGATAGATCAAGAGTTTTTTATACAAGCTTTCATGGGGGTTTTCCAACCTAAAACAACAATAGGTAATCTGTTTATTAAATAGCAGGTCGTAAGGATGCATTCACCCCAAAATTTAATAGGAACACTGGATTGAAACCTAAGGGCTCGGGTCACCTCTAAGAGATGTATGTGCTTCCTTTCAGCTACGTCATTCTGCTAAGGGGTTCGAACACACGAGCTTTGATGTAATATTAAAATAAAGAAGAACATTCAGACCTGAAAAACTCAGTTCCATTATCACTGCGAACAGTTTGAACTATGGTTGAAAAATGTGTTTACTAAGGAGAAGAAATTTTTAAGAAATAGGACAACATCATTCTTAACCCTTAAAAGATATACCCAAGTATGCTCAAGAAATGCCTATGTCCACTATGAGTATAATACCTATAGGGTTCACATAAGTCGATGTGTATGAGCTCGAAAGGTTTTCAAGACCGTGTACTATTTAAGGAAAAAATCAGTCTAGTTTGTTTGGCTAAAGGGAAAATACTGAAATCATGAATATGATTATGATTAAGATCATCAAGAATGCAAGTAGACATTTTTTTCATAACAGAAGATGAAGCATGCATGCTCCAATCGTGCATTCCAAATATCAGTCTTATTAGGACTTGAAACATGTAATGATAATTGTGCAGAAGAAGCATAACCAACGTATTCAACATTCTTAGAGTTTTGAGAACTATTACAATGTGTACCAGAAAATAAACCAGCAGCTCTTTGATATGACTCAAAGAAATAAAGTCCCCTAAACTCTTTACCAATCCGTATGATCCTGCCATTAAAGTGATCCTGCAAGACACACAGATTAGGATAGAAAGAAATGACACTATTTTGTTCTTGAACTAATTTGGAGACAGAAAGAAGATTATGGGAGAAATTAGGAACACACAAGACATTGGAAATTTTAAGATGACTCGTTAGATAACAAGAACCTAAATATGTTACCAACACAGAACATGAAATATGATATTCTAAGCCCTCGAAATCAGATATGATGTAATCGATAGCCCCTGTATCTAAGATCCAATACAGAGAAGTACCAACAGTAGGTAAATTACAAGCAACATTACCTGCAAGATTCACACTAGAATCTGGAGTAGGAGCCTGGTTTAACAAACTCAAAATCTGGTTGTACTGTTTAGTGGTAAATGTAGGAGCCATTGAAGCAGGAGCAACAAACAACGAACTAGGATCGGCGCTCAACAACTCATTTGACTCAGTATTCACTGCCATGGATACTTGAGGATTTTTCTTCTTGGTGAACTTGAAATCAGAGGGAATCATATCAAACGATAACAGTTCTTGTTAAGAAGTTAGTTAGCAAGATTAGTTAGGAAGTTAGCTAAGCTGTTATGAGCAGTTTAGTTATTAACCAAAGTGTATAAATACAACAATAACTTGTACATAGAACGTATGCAATAAAACAAGTATTACTCAATACTGCTCTCTTTTATTTTCTTTGCTAGAAGAGATGTTAACATGGTATCAGAGGCCATCACCGGCGGTTGTTTTCGGTTAATCTTTTGATGGTGAGCTAGTTTAGTTGATAGCTTTCTGTTCTTGTTTCTGCACAAGCATGGTCCAGCCGGAGACAACTCAGATTGACTACAATCATCCTCCTTATCTTCATCCTTCCGACACTCCGGGAACAATACTCGTTTCTCATCAGCTGACTGGTGTGGAAAACTATAATCTGTGGAGCAGATCTATGCGTATTGCTCTACTTACCAAGAACAAGATTGGGTTCGTGGATGGGACTTGTTCTCGTGAAGGTCTTTCTCTAGATCTTTTGGCACAGTGGGAGCATTGCAATGCGATTGTGCTTTCATGGATCTTGAATACGGTTAGTCAAGAACTTTCTGCGGGAATAGTTTTTTCTTCGAATGCATTACGTGTTTGGGAAGATCTTAAAGAACGCTTTGACAAGATTGATGGAGCACGTGTTTATTTTCTGCATCGAGAAATTGTCTCTCATTCTCAAGGTACGTCCTCCATTTCGGTGTATTATACACGCTTACGGTTGCTATGGGATGAATATGATGCCATTGCCCCTTTCGCTATGTGTAACTGTGAAGTTTCTCGGCAGAATACGGAACATGTTAACCAACAACTACTCTTTCATTTTCTCATGGGATTGAATGATTCCTACTCCATCGTACGCAGTCAAATATTGCTGCTAAAACCTTTACCTTTTGTAAATCAAGCATACTCCATGCTGATTCAAGAGGAAGGTCAGCGTCAAAATGCAGGAAGACTAGCCAGTGTTTTAGAACCTACTGTGTTCTATTCTAGTACTCAAATAAAAAAAAACATTTCAATGGCATGTGCGACTACTGTCACATCAAGGGACACAAGAAGGAAACGTGTTACAAGCTAATTGGTTATCCAGCTGATCACAAGTTCACTAAGCGTAAGGGATCTACTGCTAATAATGTTACCTTGCACAATTAAGGAGAATCAGTACCCTCTTTGACTGAAGATTCTGTTTCTGCTAAGGTTCCTACTTTTACACATGAACAATATCAACAAATCCTTGAGTTGTTAGGGAAAGATCCGCTTGTGCAAGCTGCAACACATATGGCAGGTACTCGTTCTGTTCCCTCGCATCACGACTGGATTCTAGATACTGGTGCCACGAATCACATGACTTTTGATATTGAGAAGCTGAGTTCTCATGTTGCTTGCGACTCCTCTTCTTTTGTTCAGCTGCCAAATGGTAAAACCACCCATATAGCCCAAAAAGGAACCTATGCCTTTTCTCCTAATCACATATTAACCAATGTTTTACATATACCAGACTTTCATTATAATATGCTATCTGTATCCCAATTAACCAAAGAACTTAAGTGTTCATTAACATTTTTTTCCACAATTTTTCCTTATACAGGAACTTTGCAGTGGAGAGATGAAGGGGATTGGTAGATCTTATGATGGTCTTTACATTTTCAAGTCATCATTCAATCCATCGGTTGGTCAGTCTGTTTCCTGTAAAAATTCTTGTCTGTCTTCCACTTTGTTAAAATCAGATAATGGTGTTCTATGGCATGCACGACTTGGCCATACCTCTTTGAGTACCTTGAATAAAATGTCTCAATTACATAGCAGTTTGTCTAATATTGATCATGTTAAGAGTTGTGGTGTTTGTCTACTTGCTAAACAAAACCGTTTACCATTTCCTATGAGTGATTCTCGTGAGTCATCTGCATTCTCTCTTATTCATATTGATCTCTGGGGAGCGTATCGTGTCTCAAAGCATAGTGAACATAGATACTTTTTAACTGTTGTTGATGACCATACGCGTATGACGTGGGCATTTCTACTTAGACTCAAAAGTGATGCATTTATCACCCTTAAACAATTTTTTGCCTATGTTGGCAATCATTTTTCTGCTAAAATCAAAACAGTGAGAAGTGATAATGGTTGGGAATTCTTTAGCACTGAAGGCAACACTTTTTTTTTTCTGATCAAGGGATAGTCCACCAAAGTTCTTGTGTTCATACATCCCAACAAAACGGGGTTGCTGAACGAAAACACCAACATCTACTTAATGTTGCTCGTGCTATTAAATTTCAGTCCTTTGTTCCAATTATGTTCTGGTGGGTGAGTATATTCAAACTGCCTGCTATATAATTAACAGGTTGCCAACCAAGGTTCTTCAATGGAAAACACCATTCGAAGTATTATTGTCGCAACCGTCTTTCGGTTGGGCCCCGGAATTGGGCTTCGACTTGAAAAATGTGGATTGGGAGTCGCCACCAATCATTTACTTTACGAAAAGTGGGTTGATCAGATACCTTATTTCTTACCTGATCTGCGTCTTACCAGTGATATGTCGGATCCGAGAGTCGGCTACGGTCAATGAAGGATTAGCACCCTTGAACCGCCCTTTCGGTACTATGTAATTTCCAGTTGTCTTTAATTAAGAAAGTTGAAAGTTTAAATTGAAAGGTAAAATAACGATCCAAAACTTACATTTGATTGATTGAAAATGTACCCTTAAGAAAGTAAAAAAGCCATGTTAGATAAAATGGTAAGAAATTAATTAATTAATTAAATTAAAATGAAATGAAAAGAAAAGAAAAAAAATTAAGTAAAATGATAAAATGAAGAAAGCAAAGATAAAATAGTAAGTAAAAAAACAAATAAAAAAACATATAAAAAAAGAAAAAGAAAATAAATAAAACAAATAAACTAAATAATAATAACAAAGTACAAATAATATATATATATATAATAAATAAAAAAGTAAATATATATAAATTAATAAATTAAATGACGAAAAGAACATATACACATATAATGGTAAAAACAAAACCAAATAAAAATAATTACAATATATATATATATATATATATATATATATATATATATAGTAACAATACTAATAATGATAATAAGTAGTTAAAAAAGACAATCACACCGAAAAGGGAAGAAAAGAAAGTAAGGTTTGGTGAAGTATAATTGACGGGAAGAAAAAAATGATGAGGGTTGGGGGCAAAGTAGGTAGATATAATTAACTTGTGTAGAATATATATATATATATATATATATAATAATAAATGTATATAACAACAATAATATCGATAAAAAAAGAAAATAAAAATGATAATAAAAAATATAGAAAATTAATAGAAAAATATATGTATAATATTATAAAATATAGCACTTAAAATAAAAAAACCAAATATATATTAATAATAGGTATAAAAACTAAAATATTTAAAAAGAACATACGCATATATATATATATAACAAAATAAATAATATAAAAATAATACAAGTAATAATACAAGAATAATAAAAAGAAAGAGAAAGTAAAAAAATATAATAATAATAAAATATAAAAAATATACATATATAATATAAATAAGTAGAATAAAAAGAAAATATAATAGTAAAAATAATAATAAATATAATAGTAATAATAAAATTGCAAAGAATATATATATATATATATATATATATATATATATATATATATATATATATATGGTAATAACGTATATAAATAGAGAAAAATTAAAAAAGTGATAAATTAAAAATAAAATTAGCAAGTATGTATATATATAAAAAAACTAATTAAGGGGTTAAAATGAAAAGAATGTAAATTAAGTGGGTAAATGTCAAAGAACATTGAAGATTAAAACCGGCAAAAATAAAAAAAGTTTTCATTTTTTGATAGATTTTCGTACTCTCATTCTAAAAATGTAATTTGTTTTTTCGAAATAGCCTCTAAGGAGCGTAGATCTGAAATCAAAGTTTCGAAAAAAACTCCCTCTGGGTCATCAGATAAAATATTTGTCTTTGGGGTTCTCCAAAGAAAACACGATTAACAACGCATGCAAGTGAAGAGTAAAGAGAAACAAACGAAAGATAGAAAAAGCTTTCACCTTTATTACTTCGAATCGTTTACAATAGCCTCGAAATCACTTTTTCTTTGCTCGTATTTTTCTGGCGTTCCTTTTGTGTAACTCCTGTCTATAAATCGTGTGTTACAATAGTGAGTTACAATGGCTATCTATAGTGCTTGTGGATCCTATCTTTAGGAGTTTAAATCATAGTACAACTCTATCCTATTTTTAGGAGTTTGAATCCTAGCAAAATTCTATCCTATTTTTAGGAGTTTGAATCCTAGTAGGACGAAAAGGTGTGTTGACAGCTTTCCCTCTTTGCCCATAGTCGTGTAACGGGGATAGGGCAAAGATTAAAATACACACTTTTTGTTCGATAGAGTTGAAAATTGACTCTAATGTTTCAATAACTCCCTGTCGAATTAAGTTACGGATGACTCCTCCGTCGTGAAGCCGAGTTCATCTTGAAATGATATGAAATTGAAGCCGTAGTTCGGAATTTGAATCAGCACGTGGCTTCTCGTTGCCCTTCGGTCTTCTTCTCAGTTTAAAGACCTTGGATCGAAATTGAACTCAGAAATCTTCATTGACAGATAGCTTTTGCTTGAAAATGGTTGCTTGTCACTAAAGCACGGTTAACCCAGGTCCTCTTCTCAACTTGAAAACCTCAACTGCAACCGGAAAGTAGTGCGATTGATGTGTCATCGAGCTAAATGGAATCGAACTCGACAATTTTGATGGCAGATAACTCTTCTAGCCTTGAGTTATGCTGTAAATGATGTGCCTTGGAGCTGAGCGTAGTCGAACTCGAAGGTCTTTGTTGACAGATACTCCTTCTTTGAGTTGGATATCCTTCGTCGTGAAGTTGAAATCCAATCTAAAGATGGATGATGCTTGTGTGCACGATTCCCTTCGTCGTGAAGTTGAAACCGCGGGTGGCCCCTTCGTCGTGAAGTTGAGCCTGAAATTGGATATCCTTCGTCGTGAAGTTGAAATCCAAGTAAGTAGCATTGTTCTGAGTCCAATATCCTCCGTCGTGAAGTTGAAATTAGCTCTGGAACCGGGAAATTGTTTGTTGACAACCAGCCGTCCCTTCGTTGTGAAGTTGAACTTGTGTTGTCTTGAGTCCAATATCATTCGCTGTGAAGTTGAAATTGACTCTGAATGAAATTTTGTTGACAATCAACCGCCCTTTCGTCGTGAAGTTGAGCTTGTGTTGTCTTGGGGTCTAAGATCCTTCGCTGAGAAGTTGAAATTGGCTCTGAAATTGGGAAGTTATTTATTGACAACCAGCGGCCCCTTCGTTGTGAAGTTGAACTTGCGTTGTCTTGAGTCCAATATCCTACGCTGTGAAGTTGAAATTGGCTCTGAAATTGGGAAATTATTTATTGAAAACCAGCGGTCCCTTCGTCGTGAAGTTGAACTTGCGTTGTCTGGAGTCCAATATCCTTCGTTGTGAAGTTGAAATTGGCTCTAAAATTGAGAAGTTGTTTGTTGACAACCAGCGGTCCCTTCATCGTGAAGTTGAACTTGCGTTGTCTGGAGTCCAATATCCTTCGTTGTGAAGTTGAAATTGGCTCTGAAATTGGGAAGTTGTTTATTGACAACCAACGGTCCCTTCGTTGTGAAGTTGAACTTGCGTTTTCTTGAGTCCAATATCCTACGATGTGAAGTTGAAATTGGCTCTGAAATTGGGAAATTATTTATTAAAAACCAGCGGTCCCTTCGTCGTGAAGTTGAACTTGCGTTGTCTGGAGTCCAATATCCTTCGTTGTGAAGTTGAAATTGGCTCTAAAATTGAGAAGTTGTTTATTGACAACCAGCGGTCCCTTCATCGTGAAGTTGAACTTGCGTTGTCTGGAGTCCAATATCCTTCGCTGTGAAGTTGAAATTGGCTCTGAAATTGGGAAGTTGTTTATTGACAACCAGCGGTCCCTTCGTCGTGAAGTTGAACTTGCATTGTCTTGAGTCCAATATCCTTCGCTGTGAAGTTGAAATTGGCTCTGAAATTGGGAAATTGTTTGTTGACAACCAGCGGTCCCTTCGTCGTGAAGTTGAACTTACGTTGTCTGGAGTCCAATATCCTTCGTTGTGAAGTTGAAATTGGCTCTGAAATTGAGAAGTTGTTTGTTAACAACCAGCGGTCCCTTCATCGTGAAGTTGAACTTGCGTTGTCTGGAGTCCAATATCCTTCGTTGTGAAGTTGAAATTGGCTCTGAAATTGAGAAGTTGTTTGTTGACAACCAGTGGTCCCTTCGTTGTGAAGTTGAACTTGCGTTTTCTGGAGTCCAATATCCTTCGCTGTGAAGTTGAAATTGGCTCTGAAATCGGGAAGTTGTTTATTGACAACCAGCGGTCCCTTCATCGTGATATTGAACTTGCGTTGTCTGGAGTCCAATATCCATCGTTGTGAAGTTGAAATTGGCTCTGAAATTGAGAAGTTGTTTGTTGACAACCAGCAGTCTCTTCGTCGTGAAGTTGAACTTGCGTTGTCTGGAGCCCAATATCCTTCGCTGTGAAGTTGAAATTGGCTCTGAAATTGGAAAGTTGTTTATTGAAAACCAGCGGTCCCTTCGTCGTGAAGTTGAACTTGTGTTATCTGGAGTCCAATATCCTTCGCTGTGAAGTTGAAATTGGCTCTGAAATTGGGAAATTGTTTATTGACAACTAGCGGTCCCTTCGTCGTGAAGTTGAACTTGCGTTGTCTGGAGTCCAATATCCTTCGCTGTGAAGTTGAAATTGGCTCCGAAATTGGAAAATTATTGTTGTCAACCAGCCGTCCCTTCGTTTTGAAGTTGAACTTGTGGGTTCTTGAGTGGCACGATATCCTCCGTCGTGGATTTGAAATCGTGGATGTTTGGCTTCGAGCTAGATATCCTTCGTCATGAAGTTGAAATCCACTCTCGAGCAAATTATGTTGTTTCGAGAGAAACTTTCAATCTGTCGAGTTAGTCGAAGTGTGGCTTCTTGCTGCTGAGTTAAGCAACCAACATGAATCTTTAAAGGTGCTTTTGAATCGAGTATCCTTCATCTTGAAGTTAAAACTTGACTCTAAAAGCTACAAAAAATTATGTATGTAGAAAATGATAAAT